TCAGGATTAAAGTTAAGAGTGGAGTTTATATCACAAATCGATATCATTTGTGATGATACAATGCTTTGTAGCCATATGGAGGTAAGAATTTAACGTAAAATTCACGGAGACTCAGCACTGTTTCTTCGGTTTGTTTATATGGTGACAATAGATTAAAAACTAAGCCTTATCTTTTAAGAAAAGCATTGATTCGTGTGTTGAATTTGATCTGTATAGGAACAAATGCGCATCGGATGCATTTCATACGATAATTTTATTGCTTTGACAGCTGAGCAATAATTTTTCACTTTCATTGTAAATGTAATCGATACACGATATACCTGTTTTCACAACTAGTTTTCTGAAATGATAAAGCGAATTTCATTTATTTCTGAAATTTCGGCAGAATCACAAAAGTTATATTCCTCGTTCTAACTGGACTGTCGTTCTGACATGCTTCTATTGAAATATCGATATTAGTTGAAGGACAGTACGACATCCGTGTGACACTGAACAGGTAGGCAATTTATTTGAATTAAGAATTGGCCAAAAATATGCACCAAAGACATATAATAATAATAATAATAATTTATATTCTGAAAGTAATAATTACAAAATTCACGCCAGTTTACAGGCATGATCAATATACAAGTTAAAAACCACGATTCATCATTTTCAATGTCGGGCTGACAAACGTAATCTGAATGAAGATATTATGAATGAGAAAAAATTGATTTAATGAAAAAACCTGATGTTTTAGTAGGATAAATTTGATGAAAACATGACTTTACGGTAAATCGGGTTTTATAGATTTATATCTAAATTGATGTTTAATTAAGTGACCCGTGACTTCAAATTTCAATCAGTCATATACAACGTAGGACAAAGCAAATGTATTCTTCGGTTCAAGTTACCGCTCCTCATTAATACAATATGATAAACACCAAATTTATAGAAGTAGTTACTTCAGTGGAATTAAAATATAAAAGGAGAATTGTACATAAGAATACAACACAGGAAGCAAGAAATAATAGGTAGAAAGAATTTTATAGGCGGTTTCAGTCTCACAGTTCAAGAGAAGTCAAAGAGTGTATACACGCACGTCATTGTGATCGATTCCGAGGCATGTAACACAGAGTCTCTAACTATTGATTACGATAGTCGCGCAAACCCCAACCAAGTAGTCTGTATCTACCAGCATGGCTAAGACTAGAAGTTAGTGACTTCAAGCACTGATGCCACGTTGCAGTTTTCCGCCGCCAACTTTCTTCCAACCATTCTCAACACTTGTCAGCATTGCATGTCGTGGTATTCGCTGTTCAGGAATATGTACCGCGTGGCCCAATCATCTCAGCTGATGAAGATGATGAACACTGTATTCACAATCAACCTCCCTCTTCAATTCCTATTATTCCTCCTATATCGACTTTCATATCTAAACTTTCTCTTTTGGCTTACTTCTCATTTGTCACTAGAGCCAACGATTTTAGTGCCCAAAACATTATCCAAGGTCTACAGTAACCTTGCTCCGAACTACACATTGGAGACTTCAGCGTACGCAGTCTGTGTCGAATTGGTCAACAGGCCTACTCGGCTTAAAACCTGGAATCATGTCCCACCGATTTATGCTGTGTCTCTGAAACACACATACTGGACGCTAGTGTGATCATTCACTTTACGCAACCACTCCAAAGCGGTGGGCAGACGAGATACTCACTTTGTGTATCTGGTGACCCCATGAATAGTTCTCTGAGACTGGCATGTGTCGGCATCGCACTATGGACGAGGGCTGAACAAGCATTATTAGAGTCCATGTCCGTTTACAGTCGTCTACGTAATGTTCGACCAAACGACTAGTGAGAACTCGGAAGTATTGGGACACACGCCGTTGCCCTCTTACACTTCCATTGACTGCAGTCCGGATGAAGTGATAGATGACTTTTATAGAAAGTTCGCAGAACGTATTCGTAAAGCTAAACGCTCAGACATAGTACTCGTAACAAGTGACTTCAATGTCTAATTAGTTAGCTTGAACTGAACAGAAAGACATTTAGGTGGGTATTTTAGTATCGCGTTTTAGCAACCAGATAACTGTGATCATCTTAGAAACTGTGCTTAGACAATCTTTCGTTTTCAGCAAACACTGATTTGAAGCATAAGGAGAGACATCGTCTAACATGGTGATGGATGATGGACTCAAATAAACCATATTGCCATCAGTCATCGTCGGATAGCCTTGAAAGAAGACTGCCGCTCAATCTGGAATACCTACTTTGACTGAGACTATGCTTTAATGCGTGCACGCATTTGCTTGATCCTCACTGCACGACGAAAAGTCACACTAAGCAGATCCAGTAGAGGCGAAATCAGTGACGAGAAAATCAAAAGTAGATTCCAGGAACAACAGAGGTCATACATCAGTAGATCTACAAACGAGGCTGAGCCAAATGATGCCTGGAAAGATATACAAACAGCTGTGGTGAGAGCAGTGACATCTGTCAGTGTCTTGACGAAAGGGTCAAGAAATTCCGATGGATTTCTTCTACGCCTATTGCACTGATGGATTGCCCTAAACTCATAACATCAGGCTCTTAACATCATGGGCAGAACACTTTAGCGATTATGTTGATCAATATTTTCGTAAGCATACATGGAAAGGGTGAATAACAATTGAGAAGAACTGGTAACGATTGTCCAGAACGGAGTTTGATGGAGAATGCTGGTGATCGGCAGATGCTTCTTCCTGTGGTGTAACAGGCTCAAGTAAGTAAAAAAGTATGTCGTCAAACAAAAAGTTTATTTATTTCACATTCAGCGTGGTTTATTTGCGCTCGGTTATTACACTAGTGTTTCAATAGCAGTTTCATATGAAAAGTCAGATTTCACTAAGTAACATTTATCGACATTCATGAACGGTGTGTTAGTTGTGTAAAGTTTCTGTATAACGTCATTTGACTCATGATCTCACGCAACGGCCCATCCACTATCCCAGGTGGATAACTATTTCAAACTGGACACGGACTAAACTCCACTAGTCATGGTTTCTCTCAAAATTCATCTTCAAGCTAGCGACTAGAGGGCACATTGTGATTATTATCACAATGAGGATTTGTGAAGATTCTGGTATTACCAGTGATTAAACTGATGACTTGATCCAATATAGACCACCACTGAAACCCTGGAAGAACTGGACTGCGGTTTCGTCCTAGTAACTCGACTATGAAAATACGAGCATCTTCACAAACCACATATCGATATATAATATACATAAATAATGCCTTTCGTATACGCAGTGCCGATTTCTGTAAAACCAGTGTTTTTAATATTCATATACGTTCGATCAAACACCACACATAGTCGACTACATTCTTCTTAGATCAATAAATAATATACAATCATCTATCAGCTAACACACGATCAAAAAGTTACGAACCGTTGTTCAGCACATCTGACACATTCCTCATGTCTAATGTTTTCACCACCACGATGTATGTTGCCAGACGTGAGCTCACGTGGTTTCAGCACCAACTATTACTATTACTTATACTGTGACCACTAATTCTGCTAATATCATCACCTCTAGGACTATGATCAACACTACTTCATTATCATCGGTATCAATCACCAAATTCAGTCACCAGAATACTAGAACTGGATGGATTTATCATCAGTCTGATATTGAATAAATTGACGTTTCATTCTGTCTACCTCATTCTTCTTCCAAGTACGTCAAAACAGAAAAGATCGGTAATCAAAATGTGATCCATATACTGTTTCACTGAAATTTACATTCACCAAAGTGCATAACTACTGTCGGAATCATCATTATATGCACTCGCCTTAGAAGTCAATAACACTGGATTTAGAGACATTATTGGGAAAATGAATACAAATACACACGCCTCAATACATCGTGACACTTATATTCACATATAAACTAGAAATATATACAGGTGAAGGAAAAGGTGACGACAGTAGAACTGAAATGTTTCCTCATTAGATTATTACCAGCCTTGAGTCAATTGACATTATTCTAAGAACAACGGTAGGGATGTGTCAGTGTAGATGGAAGAACAACGAGAATGAGATGATATTAGGAACGACATTGACCGATATACTACAGATCATATCACATATGACTATGAGCAGCGCTAAACATTTTCAGAAATGACCAATTCTGAATTCAACCTCAGATCTGTGACATCAAATTGATAGGTCAGATTGATCTATTGATTGAAAATGAGCAACGTAAATTAGCAAAAACAAGACCCGGTATTACTTCTTTTCATATCACACACATTCCAAATACACATTAGTTGTCAAGGTCAACTAATGGTAGGACATTAATTGTTCATTATAAACAAAGAACTTGCTCACAAAGCATTTTCACTTGTAGTGCACCGCAAGAAGCAGAATAATAATTAGTAATCTATGGAAATGGATTAAATGAAGGTTCAAGTAAACGGAGTACAATTTTACATAAGGTAGAGAGAGAGAGAAAATTAACATCGTATAAAAAGCATGACATTTTGGCACTACTCTACTCCATAAAATAACTGAAGGATAGTCAGGGCAAAATCAAGAGTATGACAAATTGCTTTTTTACTTATAAGTGGTTTGTATTCACGAATGACTGAAGACTCCATCAACCTAAAAAGCAGTCTTTCACAATTTCTTTACCGCGTTTTAAAGCGGTACTGATTTCAATTCTGTGCCTCATTTCAATTAAGTGCTATTCTATCTATGAATTTAGTATTCTACATTCTATGTTTATCGGAACATTTGGTATTAACTGACTTTCAGAACACCTTGGTACATGTCTCATAATACTTGATTGCATTGATCGATTACTTCTCTCCATGTATGAGTATTTACACATAAACGTTAATTAGTCGATGCAGTGAGATGTTATGTAATCGCTCGTATAATATCTGGGTCACATTGGAGTTGAGCGCTCAGCGCTTGCAATCATGACCTGCTTTGCGAGCACAATATGTTTCCTCGATTGCTGCTCATAGTCTATGTCATCATCATCATCATCATCATCATCATCATCATCATCATCATCATCATCATCATCATCATCATCATCATCATCATCATCATCATCATCATCATCATCATCATCATCATCATCATCATCATCATCATCATCATCATCATCATCATCATCATCATCATCATCATCATCATCATCATCATCATCATCATCATCATCATCATCATCATCATCATCATCATCATCATCATCATCATCATCATCATCATCATCATCATCATCATCATCATCATCATCATCATCATCATCATCATCATCATCATCATCATCATCATCATCATCATCATCATCATCATCATCATCATCATCATCATCATCATCATCATCATCATCATCATCATCATCATCATCATCATCATCATCATCATCATCATCATCATCATCATCATCATCATCATCATCATCATCATCATCATCATCATCATCATCATCATCATCATCATCATCATCATCATCATCATCATCATCATCATCATCATCATCATCATCATCATCATCATCATCATCATCATCATCATCATCATCATCATCATCATCATCATCATCATCATCATCATCATCATCATCATCATCATCATCATCATCATCATCATCATCATCATCATCATCATCATCATCATCATCATCATCATCATCATCATCATCATCATCATCATCATCATCATCATCATCATCATCATCATCATCATCATCATCATCATCATCATCATCATCATCATCATCATCATCATCATCATCATCATCATCATCATCATCATCATCATCATCATCATCATCATCATCATCATCATCATCATCATCATCATCATCATCATCATCATCATCATCATCATCATCATCATCATCATCATCATCATTAAAATACTGTTAGATTCACCTCATAACTGTAGAGAGTTATGATCAGTTTCCCTCAGCAGAGAATTAAATAGAGTTTAGTGAATCAGTCTGGACAATCGTCATCTTATCCTCTCATCTCAACATTTCCATACAACTCCTCGAGAACAGTTTACAATTTTATACGAAAATTCGTCAAGATTAGAACGAATAGTTCGACAGTAATTGAGCGCCGAGTATGGAGAAGTCAATATACCATTTTTTAGTATTAATTGTAACGCATTTCGATCGGATGGCAAGAATTCTCTCACAGTATTAATTGGTCAAACCATATTGATATCCATATGCCGTGGAATTCAGTGGAAAGCTTCCTAGCATAAATGTATTGAAATATGACGACATCCACATGAGAACGAAACGCCTTCGTTTTAAACACTTGTTGTTACAATGATCAACAACATTGAAATAAGAATATCGCTAACAAATCTTCAATACTGTCATAACATCTTGAAAATAACTGACACAGTGCTCTATCGAAATAAGAATGATATTCAGTGTGCTTCACTCATTTAACTTCGGTTTGTTGATTTCAAGGTGCTTCTTCATACTCCGATTATGTGATTATATGATTTCTCGTGTTCGTTATTGTCATTTGATCTAACGTGCATACTGTTTTCTTATTTGATTGATCATTAACTGAGAAAACAATTTCATTTGCTTTGAAGAGTCATATATTTACTCAAAAATATTATATGTCGTTATATTGCTTTTAAGTTGTTATTGATGCTGACGAAATCACTTATGCAGGTTACCCACACATCAGCGTTCTGCATCCAACTCTTTTCTGGACAGTCCCTTCCAACCTCTAGCTTTGACTGTGTTTTATCACTGGAAAGCTGTCTGGTAAATTTCGCTTATGTTCAGTTACCTAGAATAATAAACGTTTGTTGGTTAAGTAGAGAACTACATTAGAATATGAAACATGGAAATTCGCAAAACGTTTTTCACAAAATTCAGAATGTACATGTTCAACATTGTGATTATGAAAATGAAACCGACCAGCTAAATTGATTGAAAATTTCAACTGAGAAATAGCATGAATTAAAATTTCAAAGTCACAAAATGTCTATTTCGCTTATGGGAAATTTGAGGGTTCATAGAGTTGACGCGATGAAAGTATAGAATTGTCGACAGTACTCTTCTGTTTGTCTTCTTATCATTGCACTACCACGTCTCTAAATGTTGTTGAAATCAATATGTTTATATGATAATATTCGCATATTCATCTGTCTTCTCACTTTTATCATCCTCGTCAATTTAAATCAAAGAATAATCGTTTGCTCTGTGTTTGATTAAGAGTGAAGACAAGTTATTTCAGATTGGATAGTTTGTTTTGTAATCTAGCAACAAATAGGTTATTCAAATAATTCTCAAATCATGAACGAAAAATGCATTCGAACATTATGTGTCACTGTTTGTAAATACCGATATCATTTTGATAATATTTGTAGTAGTTCTCTTAGTCCCCGTTATGTAGAGCAGAACCAACTGTCTTGATGTTCGCATTGAAAATTGTGACTTGGGTTGACAGTTTTTTTGAGTTGCATAAATTCTTCAACCGTAGGTTGAGTTCGTATTCTCTGAGTTGTGCTTCGGAATCTTGTTGTTTCTGCTGTATCTTTCCGAGCTTACTGATATTTTATCTGTCACTTGGCAATAACAACGTATTCTTGAATGATTTTTGTTTTCTTAATTGGGATAACAAATTTATTGACACGCCTTACGATGGATATGTTAGATGATTGTAATGTACTTGTACAACACCATCTGCTACCTCACAATACGTGATCGCTACATTTGCAAAACTTCACATGGTTTGCAGCCACTGTTATCGCAATTTCTTAAATAAATATAAAATGCCACAATGAGGTTTGAAAATAATTAACTTTTTAGTAAAATCTGGTAGCACTGTTGCGTTAATCACCTGTGAAATAGATAACTGGTTTGTGAAGAAGTCAAACATGTTTGCTATCTTACTGGTCACTTTGTAGAAAACACTAGGAAAACAGGTCATCTTCTGCTCATAAACCTGAACTGATGTATTTTCATTGACTATGTATGAACAATATTACTCTTGTGAATCCCCCTACTAATCTAAGATTAACCTTAGGTTTTCACTTAATTTCTACTGTATTCACAGAAATTCAAGACTAATTTGTAAATTGTTTTATAACATTTGTGCTATACTTATGAGACTCATGTCGACAATCGTTTCATTAAGAATGATAACTGTGTGATTTTGTTTTATAAATATAAATAAAATGCACGATATGCACTTATTGAGTACGAATTTTACGGATCCAGCCTCATCAAAGTATCTTTCGAAACAAGGAAGGAGGGGAACACAACGATAATTATCCGACATCGTGCATCCACCAATGAAAACAACGACAACAGCAAACATTAGCTTGATGAGGTGTGCAATCAACATGAAGACGTCCTCAAGAACTAACCTAACAATCCTGATGGCAACCAAACGTCAATGTTGGAATGGAGAACACTGGACATGAAGACATCATCAGACTACATGGACTGTCTGAGAGAAAGGAACGAGAATGGTGACAGACCTACAAATTGTTATAGCTATGGAACGCACAAAGTTTTCTCACAAAGACATACACAAAACTACATGCGTTTTATCGAATCACATCCGAGAACCAGATGGATCATAGTTACATAACTAAAATATTGAGAAAGACGATGGGAGACGTGAGAACCAGGAGAGCATTTGGCTTAGCTTAAGATAAACACGTGGTGGATACTAAGATGAAACTGAAGCTAAACAAGCACTAGACCACTGAGAAACATCATGACAGAGGTTCAGTAGAGACATTCTTCGATACATTGACAAAGTGCATCGACTCAACGTAGGTCTTAACAACAGGTTCCAAGTTTTACAAGATCTACTGATAGAGAAGGAAATTAATACGGAAGACAATTGATGACGGATCAAAGAAGCACTAAAGTCGAATTGTCAATATGTGCTGGGCCACAACAAGCATCGTCATAGGGAATTGCTATCTGTGCAAACGCTGAACAAGATTCAATCTTGAACAAACAAGAAGACAGCAATTAACAACAGGTGAAAAAGAGGAGAAAAAATCCAGTCACAAGCTGAATATATAATAAGGCTGACTAACGGGTGAAAAAGAGCATCAGAGGTGAAAAACAGAAGTACGTGGAGACTAAACAACAACAGCGGAGATGGAAGTATGAAAAGACCATATGACACAACTTAGAATTCGACAGCGCGGATAGAAGAAGTTTACGCAATCTTCTACGTTATGTCGAACATGAGATGGTCGTCATCATCTGCGATTAACAAGTGCACTGCATTGAGAAGTGATGCACGCAGTAGAGCTGAAAGGAGCATCGCGAGTAAATTCCGGAGCAAAACAAGGGTGCTCACAATCTCGTTTGCTCTTTCTTCTGTCAAATACATCATTAACATCACGAAATGTGAGGGCAAGCGCGGGATGCAACCAACATGTCAGAATCAACAAGAAAGCTTGGACATGACGGGTTATCTGAAACTTCAATCCCATACACACAAGACCATCACAGTGATCGCAGCAAGAAACAGCAAGACTCCCAAGTACAACCCAGAGAATACGAACTCAACCTACGGTTGAAGAATTTATGCAACTCAAAAAAACTGTCAACCCAAGTCACAATTTTCAATGCGAACATCAAGACAGTTGGTTCTGCTCTACATAACGGGGACTAAGAGAACTACTACAAATATTATCAAAATGATATCGGTATTTACAAACAGTGACACATAATGTTCGAATGCATTTTTCGTTCATGATTTGAGAATTATTTGAATAACCTATTTGTTGCTAGATTACAAAACAAACTATCCAATCTGAAATAACTTGTCTTCACTCTTAATCAAACACAGAGCAAACGATTATTCTTTGATTTAAATTGACGAGGATGATAAAAGTGAGAAGACAGATGAATATGCGAATATTATCATATAAACATATTGATTTCAACAACATTTAGAGACGTGGTAGTGCAATGATAAGAAGACAAACAGAAGAGTACTGTCGACAATTCTATACTTTCATCGCGTCAACTCTATGAACCCTCAAATTTCCCATAAGCGAAATAGACATTTTGTGACTTTGAAATTTTAATTCATGCTATTTCTCAGTTGAAATTTTCAATCAATTTAGCTGGTCGGTTTCATTTTCATAATCACAATGTTGAACATGTACATTCTGAATTTTGTGAAAAACGTTTTGCGAATTTCCATGTTTCATATTCTAATGTAGTTCTCTACTTAACCAACAAACGTTTATTATTCTAGGTAACTGAACATAAGCGAAATTTATCAGACAGCTTTCCAGTGATAAAACACAGTCAAAGCTAGAGGTTGGAAGGGACTGTCCAGAAAAGAGTTGGATGCAGAACGCTGATGTGTGAGTAACCTGCATAAGTGATTTCGTCAGCATCAATAACAACTTAAAAGCAATATAACGACATATAATATTTTTGAGTAAATATATGACTCTTCAAAGCAAATGAAATTGTTTTCTCAGTTAATGATCAATCAAATAAGAAAACAGTATGCAAGTTAGATCAAATGACAATAACGAACACGAGAAATCATATAATCACATAATCGGAGTATGAAGAAGCACCTTGAAATCAACAAACCGAAGTTAAATGAGTGAAGCACACTGAATATCATTCTTATTTCGATAGAGCACTGTGTCAGTTATGATGATGATGATGATGATGATGATGATGATGATGATGATGATGATGATGATGATGATGATGATGATGATGATGATGATGATGATGATGATGATGATGATGATGATGATGATGATGATGATGATGATGATGATGATGATGATGATGATGATGATGATGATGATGATGATGATGATGATGATGATGATGATGATGATGATGATGATGATGATGATGATGATGATGATGATGATGATGATGATGATGATGATGATGATGATGATGATGATGATGATGATGATGATGATGATGATGATGATGATGATGATGATGATGATGATGATGATGATGATGATGATGATGATGATGATGATGATGATGATGATGATGATGATGATGATGATGATGATGATGATGATGATGATGATGATGATGATGATGATGATGATGATGATGATGATGATGATGATGATGATGATGATGATGATGATGATGATGATGATGATGATGATGATGATGATGATGATGATGATGATGATGATGATGATGATGATGATGATGATGATGATGATGATGATGATGATGATGATGATGATGATGATGATGATGATGATGATGATGATGATGATGATGATGATGATGATGATGATGATGATGATGATGATGATGATGATGATGATGATGATGATGATGATGATGATGATGATGATGATGATGATGATGATGATGATGATGATGATGATGATGATGATGATGATGATGATGATGATGATGATGATGATGATGATGATGATGATGATGATGATGATGATGATGATGATGATGATGATGATGATGATGATGATGATGATGATGATGATGATGATGATGATGATGATGATGATGATGATGATGATGATGATGATGATGATGATGATGATGATGATGATGATGATGATGATGATGATGATGATGATGATGATGATGATGATGATGATGATGATGATGATGATGATGATGATGATGATGATGATGATGATGATGATGATGATGATGATGATGATGATGATGATGATGATGATGATGATGATGATGATGATGATGATGATGATGATGATGATGATGATGATGATGATGATGATGATGATGATGATGATGATGATGATGATGATGATGATGATGATGATGATGATGATGATGATGATGATGATGATGATGATGATGATGATGATGATGATGATGATGATGATGATGATGATGATGATGATGATGATGATGATGATGATGATGATGATGATGATGATGATGATGATGATGATGATGATGATGATGATGATGATGATGATGATGATGATGATGATGATGATGATGATGATGATGATGATGATGATGATGATGATGATGATGATGATGATGATGATGATGATGATGATGATGATGATGATGATGATGATGATGATGATGATGATGATGATGATGATGATGATGATGATGATGATGATGATGATGATGATGATGATGATGATGATGATGATGATGATGATGATGATGATGATGATGATGATGATGATGATGATGATGATGATGATGATGATGATGATGATGATGATGATGATGATGATGATGATGATGATGATGATGATGATGATGATGATGATGATGATGATGATGATGATGATGATGATGATGATGATGATGATGATGATGATGATGATGATGATGATGATGATGATGATGATGATGATGATGATGATGATGATGATGATGATGATGATGATGATGATGATGATGATGATGATGATGATGATGATGATGATGATGATGATGATGATGATGATGATGATGATGATGATGATGATGATGATGATGATGATGATGA